AAAGTCTGTTTTATGGGATAGGTCTATAGCCCTAAAAAGTGGACATATTCAGTTTCTGCATTGACCTATTTAATTATGGACGTAAAATGGACACTATATGGACGTCCATTAAAATCGTACAAAGGATGTAAATATATGGACGTACATAGTACATCCATTTTTAGTCCGTGGACCAATGTACTTAAAATGGATCTTAAACGGACGTCCATTGGACGAATGGTGCTATCTGGGAAACGTTCCAAATACTAAAATAATAACTTTTAAGTTATTAACTTTGTAGTTTTTAACTCATGTTCCAGTTTCGAGATTTTAACTTGGAAAGGGACTACAAAGTAAAAATAATTATAATGTAATCTTTAGGTAGCAACCGAAAGTAACTGCTACAAATTAAATTTACTTGAAAGTTTTTTTTACTTATAACACCTTTTTTAAAGTTGCAAAGTCTTCTTGGGGGCAACCAAGTTTTACTTAAATGTTTATTACTTTATATTACCCTACAAACAATGACGACATCGTCTTTTATATCGTCTTTCGTATCCTTATTTTTTTTTTAAACTATTTCACACTAAATTCACATCGCTGCATCTTTTTTGGTCGTAATTGTGCATTGCATTAATACATAATTATGATTTTTAATTATATTTAATCAAAACATAGCTAAAAAGAACTTCCCTAAGTTTACAACTCGTAGGACGACAGTCTTGTCGATAGAGAAACCTATATCGTTGACGAAATAAGTCCCGATATCGACAAAACAGTCGTCAAAACGACAAACATAACGATATCGTCTTTGACATCGGTTTTCGTACCGATATTTTTTTAAAAATATTTTACACTAAATTCAAGTCGCAGCATGTTCCTTGGTCCTAATTTTGCAGTGCATTATGATTTTTATTTATATTTTTATATTTAATAAAAACAAAGCTCTAAAATAGCTTCCCAAATTTGACGACTCGTCTAACGACCCTCTTGTCGATATATAAACTATATCGACAAAAGGGTCGTCATGACGACAAACAATGACGATATGGTCTTTGACATCGTACGATATCGTCTTGCGTATCGATATTTTGTTTTAACTATATATATATATATAGGTAGGTACAGTGGCGTAGCTAGGCGTAGGCGAAGTGGGCCCTCGCCCACGGCCTCGCACTTAAAGGGGCCTCGCGAGGCCTCTTGAAATGCGATGCCATCAGACTTCAAATCCCCGTTTATTTTTAAATTAAATAAAAACCTAAAAAATATGTAAATTTAAGATCCTTATATACTAATAATTAATCAATTTTAATCGATTACAATCACAGAAATAGTGATTACAATGGATATTTTAATACGCCACCTATTAGGACTCTAAACAAATACCAAGTTGTGGCCTACAACTTGTAAGTAATGTAGATATCACATTTCGCGATTTAAATAACTGTCATTTAATTTGCTGTATGTGTTTTAGAACATTTATGATTGTTCCTTAATTATTATTTAAGTTTAGTTATGTAAGTAAAGTAGAATTAAACAGTTAATCGAATAGTGTGTGCATCATTTGCCAAATAAAAGGGCCACATTTGTTTGGTTTAATAATTTGTCCCGCTTTTCATAAATCCAATCTGTTATTAATAATGCGATTTTCTTTAAATTTGGGTGGTGATTGTATGCTGAAGAAATGAAATATTTGCCATAGTAAGTTTTTTTATTTATCATTGGCGTACGGTTTTAGGGGGTCGATTTTTCGGCAAAAGGATATTAGGGCTTATTTTAGATAAATTTTTTAATCCTATATAGATTGAGCATCCTCAAAAACCCCTTAATCCATATTCTTAAAATCTTAAAGAAATTTTATTTGCTGAATATGATTAAAAAAGTTTTAACCCCCTAACACCGTACCCCAATGATAAATAAAAAAATTTACTATGGAAAATATTAAGTGTCTTCAACATACAATCACCACCCAAATTTAAAGAAAATCGCATTATTAATAAGTTATTAATAATAACTGAGATATAAGGGTGGATTTATGAAAAGCGCGACACACTGTATACAGGGTGTTTCAGAATAAGATGCTGAACCTTAAGGGTGTGAATCCTTAGTTGATTTTAAGAAAAAAGTTCAAATAAACCTATGACCTAAACCTCTTAAATTTTAAGTTACAGGGTGTTAAAGTTTTAAGAAAGAAATCGGTTTTTTATCATAACTTTAATAACTTCCTAGATATTTTTATAAAATTTGGCACACGTCTTCTAATCATTAACAGTAAGTTTTTGATTTAGAAGATTTTTTATTTTTTTTACCAGTGGCGTCCGTACAGGATGTGGTCTAGATATATTTGGAAAAATATTATGCACGCCACTGCTATTTTTCAAAATAAAAATTATTTTTTAAATCCACATTTATTTTAGGGCAAATTTGATTTCTTGGCCATTTTTCGTACGACTAACGGTTTTCGCATTAAATGCTTTGTATTTTTTTCATCGGGGGCCTCGCTGATGCGACTTCGCCCACGTCTATATTAGTCCACGCTACGCCACTGGGTAGGTAGGTATATAGTTTTACCATTGATTTAATCAATTTGATTAAACCCTATTCCTTTACTCAACGGTTTTACACTAAATTTATGTCGCTTATAGTGCAACGCTGTCATTGCATTGCAAATAAATACTGATATTAAATATAGAAAATAGTAAGAAGACAAAATCATAGAAAAAAGTATTGTTTTATTATAGCTGGTGTTGTAGGAAATAAGTTTAAATATACCGCCGACGTGATGTCGGTAATGTAGGTATCATTAACAGATAGAAATTAATAACATGGCGAAGCTGAGTTCTTGTGGCTTGGGCTGGTCTATTTGTGTCTGTTTAGTGCTGTGTTTATCTAATCTATGGATGTGGAGCTGTATTTAATACTTCTAAATTAAAACGTAAGTAGACAGATTGTTTTATTATAGTTCGTATTTGTTCGTATTGTATACCTAAATGATGGACAGGAATTCAACCTAAATGAAGGAGAGGAAACCAACCTAAATGAAGAACAGGAAACCAACATAAATGAAGGACAGGAAACCAACCTAAATGAAGGACAGGAAACCAACCTAAGTGAAGGACTCTTTAATTTTAAATGATAATGATAGTGGCAATTGCAGAACTTTTTACATAATTTAAATATTAATATTTGAAAAATGTTCAAACTTCTATACAATTTAAATTGAATCACTGATTTTAGAAACACCTAAAGTCAATTTACTCGAGATATTCTTCAAAAAAATAATTATTTTTATATAGACTTTAAAATCATTCATTTCTTTACTAGGGTGCTAATTTCACAAATAAATGATTGGTAAGTTTATATAAAAATAATTAAGCAATTTAATTAGTTTTCTTCATTTGTGACTTAGGGTCTTTCTGAAATTAGTGGTAAAATTGTTCACTTGCATAATGCAAGTTGCATTGGTTTCACTTCACTTTAATCTTTCTATAGAGTTCGGCGTTACTTTATTATGGCATAATAAGTTTTATCAGAGTTATTTATTTTTATTATTAAGGGGGTGATACACACTAAAGTAAGCAAGTTTTTTCTCTATCACTGTTGCAATAAGCTACTGTTTTTGAATAAAAAAAGTATAAAAATTGATGTAATTTTTCGTATGCCACTGCTGTTTTTTGTTTAACGACCTATAAAAAACATATGTTTTTGCAAAAATCCATAAAGTATAGATGGCCAGTTATTTAGCAGTAATTAAAAGAATCAGTTAAATGTTGATTTTATTTGACCCATTATACCACCTGTAAACAGGAAGTTTAAGTGGGTCAGAAAGGAATCAGTGGCGGGGTCAAAATACTTTAATAATTTTTATATTTTTTTTATTCAAAAATATTAGCTCTAATGCAAAAGTAATAGGGGAATAACTTGCTTACTTAAGAATGTACTATCACAACTTATTTGGTGACACTGTATTTTATTTTAAAAGTTTATTTTATTTGTTTCAAAAATGTTATAAATTTAATATTGTAATAACAATTCCTTGCCATTGTGGTTTTTGTTTGTAAATGTCATTAATAAAAAAAGGCTTTTTTAATTGCATATTTTTTATTTAAAATTTTATCACCTCTAGATTTGTTCGCGATATCGTATGTCGATTTGTTTACGATATCGCGTGTCGATTCTTTTACGATATCGCTTCTCGATTCGTTTACGATATCGCGTGTCGATTCGTTTACGATATCGCGTTTCGATTCGTTTACGATATCGGCGGACATCGTTTGACGATATCGCGTTTCGACTCGTTCGCGATATCGGCATCGACGTTAGTTTGCGATATCGCGTTTTGACTCGTTCACGATATCGAAATACATATCGACATCAACGTCATTTGACGATATCGTGACGATAAGAATGTTGAATCTAAAAGTGTCGGATTACGAGTCCTCGGAATTCTTATCGTTTTTTGTATCGTTATTGTTTGTAGGGTAACCATTTAAGGAAAAATTAAGTTACTAGTACTATATATACTATAGTAACTTAATTTTTCCTTAAATGGTTACTATAAAGTAATAAACATTTAAGTAAAACTTGGTTGCCCCCAAGAAGACTTTGCAACTTTAAAAAAGGTGTTATAAGTAAAAAAAACTTTCAAGTAAATTTAATTTGTAGCAGCTGTTACAAAATATTGCTATTTAAAAGTTAAAATTACTTTTAAGTAAAAATTAAAGTAGCTGTTTAGTATACTTAACTAATTTAAGTTATCACCACTTTGGCAATGGTTTTTGGAACCAAAAATGCTGCTTGGGAAATTTTAGACCTAACATTTAGGGTGGTCACTTTTCTGAAAAACTGAATTCAAGATCAAACATTTTTTTTTTAAATATAAAACAGTATCTAGTTATTCTGGAAATGATTTTATATGTAGTTAGATTTTGGATTTATAAATTTAAGAATAAATCTAAAAAAAATAGCCACCGCCACTGCTTTTCATCGCGATGACGTTAAAGTAGTTTAAATGAACTTTTCCCGCCAATAGTTTTTAGGTTGTGTTTACAATATTTTGAATTTAGAAAAAGATGTTTGGCGAAAAGGCTTGCGATTTAATTAAAGAACTTTCAAGAGCAGAAGATAATTTACCAGCTTATAATGTAATAACTTCCATAAAACTATAATTTTTCTTTAAAATGTTATTTTTAGACTGATTTAGTAACAGAGGTTGGAAACGAAATTAAAGTGTTGATAGAAAAAAATCAGGAAGACGCGTAAGCAAGATTTAACGCTTTAATTTTATTTATTAATTTACCAAATTTAAGCCAAATTTCTGAAGACAGTAGAGCATCAGATGGATTATCGTACATTTCTACAGTAAAAATCAGACATGCTGCAGTTAAGAGAAATTTCCGATGTTTGTTAGCTTATCATTATAACAGATTGAAATGTATTCGAACTATGAGATGGGAATTTGGCAGTATTTTACCAGCTGATATTAAAGTAAACATGAGTGCAACTGAATCGGAATGGTTTACAAAATATTCCAGATTAATGACTCAATATATGAGGTAAAACTAAAATAATAAATTTGTTCAGTTATAGTAATTTATAGTAATTAGATTTATTTAAAAAAAACAATTTGCTTACAATTTTTTTTATATTTAAGACTAGTATTTAAGATTTCTAATATTTATAGTTAAACGTAGCATAAATAGTGAGAAATTTCCATTAAATCTTACTATGGGTGCATAGTATCACTTGACTATATGAAACTGACTTCAAAATTTACAACTTTTTACTTAATTTAACCCAGTTTTTTTGCAATTTTACAGTTTCTCATTGGTTCTTTTATGAAAATACTTAAAATATATGACGGATTTCTTACTTCAGAGTCTCTAGAATTCTTGAAAATATTGGTGGTAGATCTACTAACTTTTTAAAGTAAGATTTGCTGGAAACCACCAACTTTTAAAATTATATCTACCTCCTAGACAGATTTTGTGTTGGCAACACTGCGTGAAACCGTCAAACTCGCATTCGGCTCGTGTGACAAACTTTTCACTCGAGCAGTATATGCCGTATTCCAAACTTGTTACAGAATATACTATTCTTTATATTTTTAGTAATTATTTTTTAAGAAATTAGGTTGTAATAGAAAAAATAGTTTATGCAACTAATATAAAGCCTCTTTTTTGCACTATGAGGTTTTCTAACCTGCCTCCGGCTCGTTATAAAGGTTCCTCATGCAAAAAAAGTGTCACTTGATATTCTAGTTGCATGGGTAAATTAATATTAAAGATCTTTTTGTTTTAAATATGTTTTCTTTGGGCCCTAAATTAAAGAAAATATTATCAAGTATATCAAGTTTGGGGGAGGTTATTTTAATTTTAAAATATTTAAAACGCTGTGACTAGACTAGAGGCACGCTAACGTGCCCCGATTCGAAATATTAAAGGCACGTTAGTTACGTCATAACAATAATCCGTTTCTGTTCCCCGAGCGTTTTAAAATTGATGTTAAGCTAGGTAGCTCATATGGTAGGGCGGTCGCTTAGCATGCGAGAGGTACCGGGTTCGATACTCAGAAGTTGTCGAAGTTTTTTTATTTTTTTATTTCATAAACTTATTGTTTCTTTGTTAAAAAGTGTTGAGTTTGGTTGGGTTGCAACCCATGGTTGGTTGGTTTGTTTTAGTTTTATCGTAACATAAAATCTTAAAATTATGACGTAACTACCGTGCCTTTAACATTTCGAATCGCGGCACGTTAGCGTGCCTCTATAATTAAAATAAAATTATGACGTGTAGTTCTTGAGTTAGGTGGGTTTAAACCCAAACTGCCAGGAAATAATCTTGTCTTTCATGTTTCAGCTTGCTGCAAAAGCCTTGTTTGTTTAGTTTTCATAAGCATTTTTAAAATGTTTAAAATTGGTTTAGATTTCTATACTTAAATGATTAATTTTTTTAACTTAAAATATCCCCCCCTATCACGTGATATGGCGTTAGTGGGTAATTTTTGCGACAATATTTCTATAAATTTAAACGCGAACAGTTTTTATATTTTGAACCTAAGTTTGGAATTAAAATCATATTATATATCTTTTAATAAATATTTTTTCTTAGGTCTGTTGGCGAGGAAGGCGTAAATTTATGGGTAGATCTAAAACCCCCAAAAGCTCTTTATATTGAAGTAAGATGTTTAGTGGATTATGGAAAGTTTGAACTAAATGATGGATCTGTTATATTTTTGAAAAAACATAGCAGACATTACCTACCTAGGAGTGAATGTGAGGAACTAATAAGGCAAGGTGTATTTTACCACATAAATTAAGTTTGATGTAAAAATGTATTTAATAATTTAACAAAGTATTTAATTGTGATTTTTGTGTTTTATTAACTTCAACTCAGGTATTTGTTTTTGTTTACATATGTACTCTTTATTGTCCATATATTTTTGCAACACTTTTGGTATGCTGATGGTCCCGTTTTTATTTTGACCTGTTTCTGAAAGGGCTATTAGCAGTCTGGGTATTGCACATGCTGTACCATTCAAAGTATGAGCAAATTTAATATCCCCATCCTTACTTTTGTATTTAATACCTAAACGTCTTGACTGGTAATCTGTACAATTTGAACAGCTGGAAATTTCTCCAAATATTTTTCTTCCTGGTAACCAGGCCTCAATATCATACTTTCTATAGGCTGGAGCACCTTAAATGCATCATTTTATTAAATATAAATAGTTCCTATAAAATATTTAATATAATGCACAATATAACAAATACTGGTCCAAAATTGACCATGGTCATTTGCAAAGAATCGTTTCGGGAGGTTAATTTTTATTGGATTAAATTTTTCTCAAAAACAGATTTTTAAAATAAATTTTTGTGAAAAAAAGTGGGGCTTTGTCCCTTACAATTTATGTCATTGGGTTGATGCTTAAGGAATGATTAAAATAAAATCCAAAAACTATTTGAGTTTTTACCAAAAACCATCATGCTATAAAATTATCATATAAGGGCGTATATCATCTTCAAAAATCTTCATAAAACATTTTGTTTTCTTTCTGTTTGTCCCGTTAGTAATCATAGAATCGCCCAGAAGTAGTTTTTTTATTTAACAAAAATATATATTTGATACATGCAAGATTTATGGTATCTGTTCAAATAAAGATTTAAGATAAGTGTCCCATTCATCTAGTGTAACTAGTGTAAAATTAATTAAGAACTCTGGTTAAGTTGTTTAATTAATTTTAATGTTTTTATTATTGCCACTTGGATTTTTTTTTTAATCTTTTCAAATATATTTTATTTTGGTGTTAAACAAAAACAGCATTAATTTAAAGTATATAACTATATATTTAAATTTAATTAATTACCTAATTCATGAGGTGGCATATCCAAAACCTGAAAACAAATGTCTAATGACGCAAAATTTTCTTCTTGCATTTTTCTAATATCCTCCAACATTTCATGTGACTGTTCTGAAGTGCATAATAGAAACATTTCTACTTTTGTAAATTCATGAACTCTATAAATGCCTTTTTCTTCTGCTGTATTAGAAGTTTCAGCTCTATAACAACGACTAACTGCCATCAGTTTTTTGGGTAACCCATAATCCATATTTAACTCCAGAGTATTGTTAGCAAAGTAACCTGCTAAAGCCATTTCTGATGTCCCAGATAAACATAAATCTGGATCATGTAGATTTTTATCCAAAGAATAAACCTATACAAATTATAATTTAATTTTATTATGTATGTATACCTATTTATTATGTATGTATACCTATACCAATAAAGGTAAATTTGTTTCTTTTAATAAAAAACGAAAACACAAAACGCAAGCACAATAAATGATAATTATTTTTTCTAAAGAAGTCTAAATTGTTATTTGTCTGGAATGTCCCCAATTATTTGTTTATTAACTATTTGAAGCTTTAAACAAAAATGTAAATTATGTATAGGCTTGGGAAAAAAATATTTTTTTTTACAAAAGCTTCTTTATACATATACTCCCTAATTGTGGGAGATTTTAACGTAAATAAACAAAAAAAGAAACAATTATCCCGAAAATATCCGCATTTATATACCGGGTGTATCTGAGAATAGGCGCACCCCTGTAACTTTTTTATTTATAAAGATAGACACATGAAATTTAGCATGGTTAATTAGGATATAAAATGCCACTTATTAGATCTACTCGAGTACAAAATTAATGTTTTGAACTTCCGGTTTCGCCGAAAATGATACAAACTTTCGATTTTTAAATGGAATGCACTATATATTTTTACATATTTGGAATCCTGAGATCAATCTAGAGTGCTTTGAACTATTTGAGAAAAACGAATTTTGACAAGTTTAGACTGCTGGGAATAGCTGAATATCATTTTTCTTAGGCAAGTTCCATTTTTCAGGCATTGTGTGAATCCATTAGAAGAAAATATGATAGTTCAAAGCACTCTAGATTGATCTTTATGATGATGCATTTTCTGATGACGAAACGTCAAAAGGTCAATTTGAGGATGCTGTCTGACTGAGAATTTTCTCAGGATTCCAAATATGTAAAAATATATAGGGCATTCCATTTAAAAATCGAAAGTTGGTATCATTTCCGGCAAAACCGGAAGTTCAAAAAATTCATTTTGTACTCTAAAAAGTGGAATTTTATATCCTAATTAACCATGCTAAATTTCATGTGTCCATCTTTATAAATATAAAAGTTACAGGGGTGCGCCTATTCTGAGATACAACCGCCAATTTTGTTCAATACTTAAGTGTCAGGAACAAGGCTTATTTAAATAATAATAATAATAAATTTATTGATATTATTTTTTTAATTTTCACTATCCACAGCCCCCAACTTTCTTATGGCCAATAATACTGATAGTATTCCTCTACATATAGTGAAAATTAAAAAATAATATCAATAAATAACAAGCGGCTAGGTAAAGCTCACGGGAGGAATTGGTGCCAAACTTATTGTCAAGTTTAGACTGATGAGCTGTTGCCACAATGAAAGAGAATTGACAAAAAGGGGTACAAAAAAAGTAAACTAAAGAATGTGTCTGTGTCTATTCTCACGCTAACGTCAAAATTTTAAGATTTTTTGTTACGACAAAACTAAAACAAACCAACCAACCCAACACTTTTTAACAAAGGAACAACAAATTTATAAAATAAAAAAATAAAAAAAGTTCGATAACTTCTGAGTATCGAACCCGGTACCTCTCGCATGCCAAGCGACCGCCCTACCATCTGAGCTATCCAGCTTTAGGTTAATTTTATAACGCTCGGGGAATAAAAAAAAGGATTTACAGTGTGTGACGTCAGTCGGGATCGAATACGAGCACCATTTCCTCCCGTGAGCTTTACCTAGGCGCTTATAATAAAATAAGCCTTGTTCCTGACTTGTGTTTTGACCATGTAGGATAGAACTCAATAATGTTACTCAATATCCTTACTGCCTACCCAAAACATAGTTATTTGATCAAACCAACACAGAAACTATCAACAGAAATATGACCAACTTTTTAACATCACAACTATACATGGACAGACAACACATAGGCAACTTTCTCGATCGTCGACGCACTAAAAAACAAAGTAATGGAAAACACTCCTAAAAAAGAAAACAATTTTTTAAACTAAAAACTCTAAAATAATAAAAAGGAAACTAAAACTTTATAGAGAATATAAAAACCTGGGAGATCCACTGTTAAAATCATAAATAAACATTTAAACATTACGTAATCCATCAATATCGACAACAAAAATGGTTAAAAGCATGTGAAAAATTCAAGAAAACCATTAAAGAAGTTAGTTAATTAAATAAAAATAAAGCTAAGAACCCACTTGGCCCACGCTACGCCATACTACTCGACGTCGACCACGACTGACGTGGGTTCACGTTTTCGAGGCACCGTACACACTAGTATTACGCTACGCCACGTCTTATGACAAACATAAAATAAAATTGCTTTATGAAATTATGAAGTAATAATAAAATTGCTTTATATACTAATTAGTAGGGCAGCAAGACGAAAGTCGTTATAACGGCTATAGCCATTTGGATTTCCAATAAAGTTTATTATTATTATTATTACTAATTAGTATTAGTATTGTTCGTTTTGGTAAAGAAAATGGAGTGTGCAAGTAGTTCTTCATCTGATGAATAGGAATGTGAACTAGAGAAGTGTGCTGTTGCTATTATTATAAATAAAAAACAAAATTTCTTTAATGTACAGAAACTCATATGAACGCACTTTTTTAATAATTTGTTCATCCATGTTTGAAAACTGCATGGAGGGGGACAACACGCGTCCACACGTCTCTTCAAAATTCAAAACAATTTGATTTTCGAAACGTCGTTCGACGTCAGGTGGCATGGTGTGAGTACGTATTGCATTGAAACCTGTGTTAAATTTCTGCATAACAAAACGTCGCATAGCGTAGGGTGGCGTGGCGTAGGCCAAATGGGTTTCCCATGATACAAACAACTGGGTTTCCAGCATCAAACCTGTTGATCACTGGTTGATAACGGTAAAACAAAACAACTAACAAAAAAAATGGAATTGTAAGGCAGAAATTTATAATTATAATCATGTATCTCAATTAGGGTTGCCATGGCTGCAGCTTCAGCTAACAGAAGATTTCGAGATATACAGTAGAATCTACTAAGACATATGGATGAGGTTACAAAGAGGATTTTTTTTTCCATTTCTCAGAAAAGTTAATTCTTGATAATAGTTTTTGCTTGATTTTAAACCCCCAAAATATGCGACACATTATTTTTATTGTCTATGGTTAATTTTCAATTTTGATTTTTCTGAAAATTTTTTATTGAAATTTTTTTCAATATATTGTAAGACCTCGGCGGTAAAGTGAATTTTTCCATGCTGAACGAAGAAATGTACACTTATTATGGTTTACCTACAAGTTATTTTTCTTCCTACATAATGTGACTGCAAAAAATACTAAACATGAAAAGAGCATGTCAATTTCCCCTATTAAGTTCGGGCTCCGTGTGTAGGCTCCATGGTCACAACCTTAACGTTTTTCAATAGGCTTTAGCGTTCTCAAAAATTGTTTATGAAACGTAGAAAAAAAATTGTAATGATAAACTTGTATGTGTGGACTCCAAATATAAAAAAATATTTAATTATATTAAACTGTTTACATTTTTGTTTTAAAAAAAGCTGTTTGATTTAATTTACAAATTATTGATTATTAATATAATATACAGTGTGCCCCAAAAGTGGCAGATTAAAGCTATGCCATGGCAGCATGCACTTTGAATTGCATATATTATTATTTATGTATAATTTTTATCTACAAGTATTTTTATAAGAGTTCAAAAATGAAATTTTATTTTTATTATTTTAATGTTTTGAGACACTTTATTTTAAAAGCTTAGAATAACAGCATTGCAAGTTTGTTAAACTTAAATTCTTAATAACTTGAAAATTACTTGCCATTTTTGGTATACCCTGTACTTATATCATGTTCCATTTAACTAATTATGTAATTTTTATTTGTATATGTATGTACCTACTTGAGTTCTTGTTCCACTGGTATTCATCCCACAACTTTCTATAACTTTTCTATGTAAAATATCTGGCACTGAAATTAGCTCAAACCCAGAATTGTACAGTTTTTCACAAAAATAATTTATTAAGGCCTGTTCCAGTTCCACCATTTCTCCCAAAAGGTAATAACTTTTACTTCCTGATAAATTACCTAAATGTTCTGATCTAACCAAATTTAACCTTTTAGTTATATTATGAAATTCTAATTCATCAAAGTTAAATTTCCTTTTACCATTAACAATTTTTAAAACTTTTGGATCATCCCCATAATTTAACACTTCTGGGTGAGTTTTGTTTGGTAATTTAAATAACTCACTTTGTAAATCATTTTTAACAATTTTATAGTCTGCACTACTGAAGTTAAGGCTGTCCAACTTCTGTTTTAATTTATTAACCTGCTCAATATCTCCTACACCTTTACGATGGGATATATTATTTTTTATTTCATTTAAGTTGTTTCCATTACAAAAATAATTCTCATCTAGTTCAGGATGTTCAGATATAATCCAACCTAATGTTTTGGTACTTTGATATCTTGCATTTTGTACAGTTTTAAAAATCCTAGGCAACATTTTTAAACCGGATTATTGAGGCATATTTTCTGAGGTTATGTTTGTTTCCAAGCTGACGTTTGATTTACAATACTGCAACTAATTTCGTTTGCATTTAAACTACTCAATTGACCTATTTTAAAATGTTGCTTTAAAAACCAAAACAGACTTCATAACAATGTTTGTTTATTATTAAGAGACAATAATTACATATGTTTAATAAACTATACTTTAAGAAAACTGTATATTTTTAAATTTGTACATCCCAAATAAAATTTGTGAATCATCCATTTTGATATGTCATCAGGGGGCCGGGCCCTATATTTCCTTGCGTAGATAAAACTCAATTAAACTAATGCCAGTTAAATTCTGGAACTGGCATACGAAACTCTCCATATAAATGAAGTGATTTAAGGAATTGAATTGAATGTTTGTGATTGTTTTATAGTTTTTTTATTTATTAACATAACCTGCTCAATTTTAAACAAACAAATATGTGGAAGGCAGCCGCTGGACAGAAAGTTAACATTAAAGATCAGGATGTGGAAGATGATGAATGGGAAACTGATCCCGACTTTGTGAATGATGTTAATGAAGAGCAGCAAAGATGGGGCTCATCAACTGTGCAAGGATCCGGAAGGACTGCTGGTGCAATAGAGTAAGATATATGAGTATTGTTTATGTTAATCCATCTACAAAATTGTACTAAACTCAGCAAAATTTAATAAATAGAAATGGAGATAGCCACGGCGTTCTCTATAGAGAACGCCGTGAGATAGCAAATGTGTACTATTTGAAGGATTCCCTTGGGAGTTCATGTTTAATATTAAGAAAATTCAATTTTCAATTATTATATGGTTGGTCTTTAAATTAAATAGTATAGACAACCTACTAACTGACATAACTCAAAATTAGTTGCCTAAATTCATTTGTTATAAATGTTAACCGCCCCTTCCCAAATTTTACAAAAAATGACTATATTTGTTTGTTTGTTAAATTTAGTTAGTAAGTAATAAAATGTAAAATTGTCTAAGATATAATAATGTTTTTGTGATTTTGCCCTTTAGGTTTTAATATAAAATGTTTTATAAATTTTAAATATGCTTTCATAATATTATGTTTAATGTAAGTACAAAGTTAATATTATTTATTTATTTTAAGACACAATAATTAATTATTGTATAGGTCTGATGATGGCAAAAATAGTAGCCAAAATCTAGATAACAATTATATTTATTTTGAGAGAAATAAAGACCAACCATATAAGAATTGAAAATTGAATTATCTTAATATTAAATGTGTACCTACTGATAACATAATCATTAATTATATTTGTTTATGCTTTTATTACTCAAAATTAAATATACCTAAAATCAATTGATAATAATAAAATTTTGTAAATACTATTAATAAAATTAAATTTATTATTCATATTTAATAATAAATAATGACTGAAAGGAAAGTATGGAAGTAATTATATGTTTAGCTTGCACACACCAGCAAAATAAAAATTATAAGGTACCTACATAAATAACTACAGGGTAATTTTCTAGGGTAAAAATATAAGGATTTAACCAAGTTTTTGTTATTGAACATTTAAATGTTTTTTAATTTTTTCAAATGGTCTATAATTTAAATATTATTGTTGTCAACACATTACAAAAGTGATTGATTATGCCCTGCAGACTTAAACATGATTTGGACCTGGGTGATGGCCATCAGCTTATGTTTAATAATTATTTTTATTATTATACATTTTATATATTGTTTCACATATGGCGAATATTTGGCCAGTGTCTTTTTGTGCTTTGCTATTCGCGTCGGTTTTTAAACTTTGAGCTTAGCACAAAAATACTTCTTGACCTAATAATATAAATAAGTATTTTTATGAAATTAAAATAACATGTTTGGGTACTATAGTTCTATAGTATAAACAGTACCTACTTTTGAATCTTTTTATAAATAAATGACTTAAATTTTATTGATCCAGATTATTAAGACATTATTTTTTTTTTAATTTTAAGTGTTAATAATAATTTTAAATAAAATCATGATAATAAGACTTGTTAACTTTTTTAAAGTATGGCCCAATTAAGGAAAGAAACTGAAGCTGCAGATGCACAAAAAAAGAAAAAACAACATGATGAAACCAATCCGGGTTTTGGATATGGAGGAAAGTTTGGTGTTGAGACTGATCGAATGGACAAATCGGCGATGGGGCATGAATATATTGCAAAAGTTGAAAAACATGCCTCACAAATGGATTATAGCACAGGTTTTGGTGGAAAATATGGGATACAAACAGACAGAGTAGACAAGGTACATAAATAAAAAATTAAAAACTTCTTACATTAATTTATGGAACTCATTTTTAGAGTGCTGTCAATTGGGACCATAAAGAAAAAGTTGAAAAACATGCGTCCCAAAAAGACTATGCTGCTGGGTTTGGTGGGAAATTTGGAGTGCAAAGTGATAGGCAAGATAAGTCCGCAGTTGGATGGGATCATTTGGAAAAAGTGGAGAAACATGAGTCCCAAAAAGGTAATGGCCATGGCACTTATTATTTTTATAATTTTTTAAGTTATTTATGACAGGTAAAATATTAGTAAACAAGAATGAAAAAACTTTGTTCTAAAATACAGTGTTATGTTTAAAAAAAATACATGCCTCTGATTTTTTGCCTTTTTCAGTTTTGTAGGAAACTACATTTATAAAAATTTTATTATTTGCTATTTTTAAATTTACCTTGGTTACTTGAATACTTCAACTTATATCTCAGTTTATGTGTTCGAGGATTTTTAAAAAAAATATTTTTAAAGCCCTTTTATTTAATATTAAAAAAAAACGCTAAAAAAACTTTTATAGGGATTTTTTTTAAGTAAATAAAAAATATGCTGTTAAAGACCGTATTTTTGTTAGTATACCCTGAAAATTTTGTATAAATCAAACGAACAGTAACGAAGATACACTGCTTCAAATATTTTGCTGAAAAGTGGTCATTTTTACCGAAAAACCCTTGAACACGTAAACTGAGATATAAGTTAAAGCATTTATATCCAAAATTTTATAAAGATTGGTAAAGGCGTTTTAGAGTTAGATTTTTTTTACTTATGCGTTAATTTTGACGGGCAGTGTATAAAAAAATATTCCGATTGTAAATAATTTATATATTTAATCAGGAAAGCGATAAAATAATTGAAGAATTAATAAAGGTTTAAATAAAAAACAACAACTTAATTTTCATGAATTTGTGAAATTAAAAAAAATTGAAATTTTGCAAATTCTCGGTGTCAAATTTATCAGAGGGCGCGCAACCAAACTTCCGTCAAAAATGGTTTTTCTTTAGCCTGTAAATTAAAATGTATAAAATTTGCATGATAACCACCTTGGTGGATATATTTACGGCAGCATTCTCGAGAAACGTTCATTCCAGATTCTCTATTCCACTTTGCAATCACTTCCCGCAGCGTGTTTCTTCTTCCTGCATATTTGAACCAAATGTCTTGCGCTTCTTTGAGAAACAATTTTGGGACGACCTGAAATTTTACCACGAATATTAATATTCCCTGTTTCACTATATTTTTTAATGATATTAAAGTAGAAATTGCACGCATTGTTTGACTAATAAAAATTTCGCGTACTTTTAGATCAGTAGTAATTGAGCAAAAATTGTAATTGATAAACGCTTTGTTGTCATAGCAACCATATTTTGTTTCAAAGCCATTGAGATAAAAGTGAAGAAACTATAGAGAAAAGAGAATATGTGTTCCCCCTTTTGTAAATGACCAATAGAATCCAATAAAAAATAAGTAATTGGTTTGAAATGTGTTCTGGTGCTATGAATCACCAATTCATTCCAGTTGCATTCCTATTGGTAAGTTCCAATGAAGTCAGCGCTTTGGATTGGAAAATACCAATCCATGCCTATTCTTGTCTATTGACTAAATTCAATAGAAATTCAAAAAAAAAACAGAATTCATTTTTCACAGAAGAGACAAAAAATTTATTGTTACTGAGTAATTTTATTTCTTTATTATTTTTTTTTGTGATATATGTATGTATTGATACATATAACTTACTATCACAAAAAAAGTAATAAAAATTAAATAAAATTACTCGGTTATAATCATTTTTTTGTCTTTCTTGCAAAGGATGTTTGTATGCGTGGTCGAAGTCGATATTGTGTATGTCAAATTTCGTCCCTAAACCCTACACATATAAACATTTTTTTAAGATATAAGGACACTACTATCACTAGGCACTTAACACAGAAATCGACTAATAAAAAAAACCGCTAATAAATGGCGTCCAAAGACTTGTTTGTGTTGTTTTTTCTTTATGATGGCGTCTCAACCTCCTTGGTTTTGCGCAGCTACAAGAGAGCCCTCTTGCGATATTTGTATTGTATTGGGAATATCCAATTAAATCCAGTAAGTCCAATTCAGACCCATTGATACCAACCAATACTTCAATTGGTTTCTACAGGAATTAATTGGTCACTTACAACAGGGCCAACAATTAGTTGCCAGCGATTTTTGAACATGAAACAGTTAAATAAATTCTAATAAAAAAATATTAGGAATTTTTCCTCACAAATGTTATGAAATTACATATAAAATGTTGCCAATGCTAATTTCTCAATTAAAAAAAATTAAAATCAAGTTGATTTAGTATACTAGCATTTTATTTGCAAAATAAATACTTCTTCCAACATATAGTTGTTAGGGCTCAACAACACCTGCAAGGAGTAGTAACTTTGTAACCCTGTTGAGAGTGGGACTGATGATGAATTCCCTGATTGTTCATTTTTTAACTTTAACCCATAACATTTTGCCCATGGGATAAAGTTAGCTTTAAGTTAAAAATGGAATAAAGTAAGGTTAGATATAATAAAATTTGCTTTAAATTCCTTGCGGTTTGGCCAAATAGCTTTTAAATTAAGCTAAAGGCCATTACCCCTGAACACAGTTATCTGTGTTCAGATTTAAGAAGAAGAAGAAGAAATTCCTTGCGGTAGTTGAATAAAATATGAAATATTTATAATCAAATATTAACAAAATCATCTATAGAAAATTTATTTTTTCAATCAGTCATTCCAAATTCATGACTTTTAAATCTTACAAATGTATGAACTTTTGGGTTCAGGATAACCTATTAAAAGTTAGATTACCGAGGTTGTATTATAATTTCCGAATTTTGAATTAACACAGCAAACGGAAAATTATAGAAGTGTATAGGATGACGCCACGTTTGAATATTGTTTTCTAAATCTCCCCACGGTATAGATTTGTATTCGTCAGTCGAGCGTTTCAATACTCTCCACAGTATAGAGGTCGTAATTTCACTTTTGAACTAGTATTAAAATGAAAACTATTTTATGCTTCAAAAAAACTATATACGACATGATTTTTTTCATTTTATTAATTAATTAAACTGTGTTGAAAATTTTTCCTAAAGGAATAATTGCCAATGGGCCATTAATTCATTTGTTCGTAGATGCTACAATATCCTGCACTGGTGTATACTTTTTGATCAACTAGATTTAAATATTGCTGAACTAACATAAAACTTTTAGTGGAGATGTGCAGGATCTACCAACAGACCTCATTACTAAATTATTAAAGTTTAATAGCATATCGATCATTTTTTCAACATAACCTCTGAAATTTTTAATACAAATATAGGTACTTTATGTAATACATAAATATACTTTACATCATATCCTCTGTGCTTTACATACCTGAGTTGTAACGGTAAATAAAAATCATACAAAGGAACCAAAAAAAGGAATTATTTTCAACAAAATCATATGCAGAAATGAGAATAATCAAACTACTTGCATCCATCAAAAGATTAAAACTTCTTGCAATATTACATCCTCTTTTTATACTCTCAGAAATATTGACTAGAATAGTATTAGGGAGACTCCAGTTCACAGAACATAAGCTCCAGTTTCTATAACTTGGTAGAGTAAAGAGAAGTCGAAACCGTTGCGATATTGCATTGCGCTGTTTTTGTATAATTCTCGTGGACATTAACGAAAATCATTGCCAGTAAAATTCGAAAAGCTTGAGTTTCTATGTCTCTGAAGAGAATAGGAATCCGAAGTTGCTGCACCATTGGACTGAACCCTTTTTTAATAATTTCTAGAGACATAAATGACTGCACCATTCGACAGGGTCGAGTTTCTACCTCTCTGTTGAATATAGAAAATCAAAATAATGTATCTTGTAAGACACCATCGAGTTTGACTTTAAATATAGTTGTGCATAGGTATGAGCCGAAAAATATAAAAACAAAGCACGATTCAATACAGTTCTGATAAAACTTTAAGATTTAGTATTTAAAAGCGGAGTCATCCTATACAGTTCTATATTTTTCCGTTTGCTGTGAATGTTTTATATTGTATAAAATGAACCAAAGACTTCTTGGGTATATGTATTTAATTTGCTGCAGATTATGCCAAAGGTTTTGGAGGCAAATTTGGAGTTCAATCCGACAGACAGGACAAATCGGCCGTCGGTTGGGATCACCACGAAGCCCCGCAAAAACACGAAAGTCAAACCGATCACAAAATCGGTTTTGGCGGCAAATTCGGTCTCCAAACCGACAGGGTGGATAAATCTGCCGCCAACTTCGATGAGCCCTCGAAAGTGGGCACGAATTACACTCGAACAAAACCGGACATCGGAGGAGCAAAACCCTCTGATTTGAGAGCGAAATTCGAAAACTTGAGCTCTCAAATGAACAAAACGCCAAGCTCAATCCCCGCACCTAAGAAAACTATTACTACTAAAGCGGCCGCTTTTACAAATAACACTACTAATATTGATAATACAACGAAAGTAACCGCCGAGGTGGCTGCTCCCAAAAGATTCGATCAATCGAAAATGGCTTTTCTCACCAAGGAAGCAGAGCCCATCAAAAAAGCGCCCATTGTTATTGAAAGAGAAGCTGTTGTGGTAGAAACGAAAGCTGTTGTTGAAAAGGAGGCTGTTACTGAAAAAAAAGCACCTAGCAATAATGTTGAAAGTAACACTGCCGCGGAACTTGAGGAAGCTCAAAGAATTATACAACAAACTCAGGAAGAGCTTGAGTTGATTAATAAGTTAAGGGATGGAAACTTTGAAGAAGAGGTGCCAGAAATTAACAATGAAGCTCAAAATTCTGAATCGATTTATGGAAATGTCGAAATTCTCCGACAGCAAGCTGAACAGGCAGTGGAACAAAATGTTGAGGAAATTTATTCAGATGAAATTGTTGACACTGGTTTAACTGCTGTTGCATTGTACGATTATCAAGCTGCTGCTGATGATGAGGTATCATTTGATCCTGATGACATTATTACACATATTGAACAGGTAATCCATATAATATTATTGTTAAAAAAAATTTATAAATTATATTTTTAGATTGATGAAGGTTGGTGGAGAGGCCTGTGCAAGGGTGTTTATGGGCTTTTTCCTGCAAATTACGTACAATTACAATAACTCTTGGAATTGCATTTTACTTATTTTATCCATTTTTTTACTTTTTACAAACAAACTTTGTAAGTATTATTTTATCATGAAGTTTATGACAGTATATGCTTCCAGTAAATTTTATAGTTATTTAAAATGTATTAATTATTTTTTTTACTATCAATCTTTATTGTATATAAGAAAATAAATGTTAATAAACATTATTGAAACTTAAGTAAGAGATTATTATTTATTACTATAGCCCTGCTTAAAATACCCCTGTTCAAACCGATAGATATTTGTATCGGAATGTATGGTGTTTCTTATAGGGTGTATCAGTATGTATAGGACCCATAGTTGGGATTTATGGTTGTTCTATAGGGATATCCACCCTTGATTTATTAGCTATTGGTTTAAATGGGGAAAATATTTTAAAAATCAAAAAATATACAGGGTATTCTATTTGAAATAACAATGTTGATGTCACTTCCGGTGAAACTGGAAGTGGAATTTTGTTCAAAATAATTTTGGAAAATAGGTTTAGTCGTATCATATTTTCTATAAAAATTTCATATCAATATCTTCATTAGCAAAAAAAATAAGGACTGATCACAGAGCACTGGGTCACCCTGTATATATATGTCATATACCGGGTGTATCTGAGAATAGGCGCACCCCTGTAACTTTTTATTTATTAAGATAGACACATGAAATTTACCACTGGCTCATTAGGATATAAAATGCCACTTATAAGAGTACAAAATGAATTTTTCGAACTTCCGGTTTCGCCGGAAATGATATCAACTTTTGATTTTTAAATGGAACGGAATTTTTACAAATTTAGAATCCTGAGAAAATTCTGAGTCGGACAGCATCCTCAAATTGACCGTTTCGACATCATCATAAAGATCAATCTATGAGAAAAACGAATTTTGACAAGTTTAGACTGCTGGGAATAGCTGAATAACAACTTTCTAAGGCAAGATCCATTTTAGGCATTGTGTGAATCCATTAGAAGAAAATAAAGATTTCAAAGCACTCTAGATTGATATTTATGCATTTCGTCATTAGCAAATGCATCATCATGATGATGCATTTGCTAATGACGAAACGTCAAAAATTCAATTTGAGGATGCTGTCTGACTCAGAATTTCCTCAGGATTCCAAATATGTAAAAATATATAGGGCAATCCATTTAAAAATCGAAAGTTGGTATCATTTCCGGCGAAACCGGAAGTTCAAAAAATTCATTTTGTACTATTTTAAGTGGAATTTTATATTCCAATTAACCATGCTAAATTTCATGTGTCTATCTTTATAAATAAAAAAGTTACGGGGGTGCGCCAATTCTCAGATACACCCGGTATATATATATGTATATATACATATAGGTACATGAACTTATAAATATAAAAGTATCAAAAATATATAGACTTCAACAAATCCAAGAACAAATTATTTATTGCATTAGGTGTAATAACAAATTTATACAAAATGGATATTTTTAATAAATTTGAAATTATACCTAATGCAATAAATGATTTGTTCTCGGATTTGTTTAAATCTTCTATATATTTTTAATACTTCTATATTTTGAGTCAATTCTTCTATTTACGCCATTTTGATTTCTGGCAAACCTACTTGTTAACGTGGAAGTAGAAAAACCCGCATATTTAAATATGTGGATAAACCATATTAATAATAAATTGTTCTGTGCGAACAAATGTTTTTAAAAAAGGCGGGTGCATTTATTTTAAGGTAGCGTTCTTCTTTTTTTAAAATTGTCTTGTAAGTTATATGCATAGATGGCGCTGTTTGTTAAATATTTTATTTAAGCTTCCCAGATAAAACGCTAGATGGGGTAGAAAATCTTGAAAGGCTGTCATTTTTCTCCGGGTATGTTTTTAGTTGATTCAGTGTAACCAGCCATGTTGGGCAGTGACAGATTATTTAGTGTTTACACGTAAAGTTTTTTAGTTAAAAATATTGTTAAGTGTGTTGTTAAGTGACTTATTATTGGATTAATCATGACGGCCACAACGGAGTCAGCCAATTGGGGCACAGAATTATGGGTAAGTCGATTAAACAAAAGTCCTCGACGACACTTGATTCTTGTTCTATAACGACTGGTTTCTATAGTAACTATTGTTGGCAAATTGTTGCATAAATTAAAATTGGCGAGACTATAAAACAAAATTGATATAATTTTCGGTTGGTTGACAGATGTTTAAACTTTTTCGCACAAGTACATATTTGTCCATGGACCAAAACGGTCATCGTTTAAAACCTGCTGGTTAGGTGACTAACAACCAGGTACCAGTTTTAGGTATTATGCCGCAGGTGCTTTTATTAATAAATCGCTTTGCAATCCTCTTAAGGAACACAAAAACCTCGTATAGTTTTTTGAATTACAGTATTTTCTATATGATTCATTAATCATGTATGTAAACAATGTCAATAAATTAAATACAAGATAATAATTTCAAAATCCTTCTCGACTCATCTCTCAAATATTTGTTTTGATGTCTTATTGCAGTTGTTCTTACGTGTTTCTTGCTCATTATCTTTACTTTAGGGGGTGGATTTTTGAAGGGTGGTGTGCGCAAGGGCGTTCAAATTTGTTTAGGTGACTCATACGGAAGTTTCCCTTAAAAGTTACAATATTAGTCATTTGAAATCTCACTTCCATCCTGCGATATGACAAGAAAAAATAAATACCTACCTACCTTTTTGTAATTTAATTTAACGAATTGGACTATTGATTTTTATCTGAATTGTGTTAATTGAATTATCGCGTATGTTTAGCAATTGTTTGTGGGTAAAGCGGTGACATGTCGAAAAAACGAAATTAATATGAAAAAATGTGTATTATTAAATGAGTTTTTACCAAGAAATACATTTAAAGTAGGTAGGTACAAGTAGCTAGTACAAGCTTTATTTGAAAAATGATTAATTATTTTACCTTATGTTATCTTTAACAGGTAATGCATTACCTATAATACTTTTATCCACCCTAACGAAATAGAAATAAAAAATGCATTATCCAAAAGAACACCTGGCAGAAGGAAGCACCTGTATCTATTAAATAAATGAATGGTTTAGAATCTATTTTTTAAATCACTTGAAAAGTAATTTTTTTTATCTGAGAATAAGTATTGACCTATCCAATGTGACTAGGGGTGTCAATCCCGAGCCCATTTTCCAATCCCGGGCCTTTCGGGACCAAAGGTAACTAATCCCGGGATCAGTCCCGAAAAAATATATATCATTAATTTTAAAATAAAACAACAAACAAACTAACGAACGATATCTTTCGAACTTCACACTAGTCGGAAGAATGGTTTTCAAGAATTCGTAGGCACATTGTACCCACGTTTACCCCCATTAACAAATAATTCCATTTCTTTTATCAATCGGGCCTTGGTGAGTTCCAATTGGGGCTGTAACTTACATTAAAATTAACAAGTTTGCGACATTTTTTTCAGGTTTGACGTTTGAAATATGTTATATTATAGGTTATGTACATAAATTTATTCTACAGTGACCTGTAATTTTACATTTTCTTTGCTGATTTTATGCTATAGATGGAACCACTCTTGCTATGTAATTTCAATGTATTTTCATTATTGTACGGCGGTGTATAATAATTTTACTTGAACCGAGTAAAAAAATTAAGTGTTTATATATATATGAGTATTATAATATGAAAAATGTTATACGCTTAAAAAGTCTATTTTATTCTTTGTAACTTATTTGAACTTATTACTAAGATCCCGGGATTTTCGCGATCGGATTTTTCACAGGATCCCGGGATTGACACCCCTAAATGTGACCTAACGGTCATTTCAAGCGTACGGACGGGACAAATCACAAAACTGTTTTTATAAAAAAAATGTAGGTACCTACCTAGTTTATTTTGCATTAAAATTGTCAAATATATTCTTCTTTTATTAGGCTATACATTAAATTTAAAAAAACGCAAGTAATATTTTATAAAATCTCTATACCTAATTTTAATAATTGACAGGATAAATCATTTTTTAAATAAAGTATCTGTACTTTTATAAATTATTTTTCCGTTATTCTTTATTTATTGTATACCTACCTATATTCTTTGATCGAAGTAAACAAAATTCGTCCATTGGGTAGGAATACAAAATATTGTCAAAATCTTATATTTAAAGCATTTAAACATTTTTAAATGCATACACAATTTTCTATTGTTAAAATTTTTAACGTATAATAACTGCCTTATTTCTGGGAATTTTGAAAAAAATCAGTTTTATATGTAAGGTAAATATACAAATTTATCTTCAAGCGTTATATAATTTAAACTTTGTTATTGTTAACACGCACATAAATAACTAGTATTATTTTTCATCAAATTTGGGATTTTTTTTGCCCACTTGAGTTACCACAACATATTTTGTTTTCCTTTGGTCGTCAATATTAGGCGAGCAGTATCGGGTTATACAGTTTACCATAAAGTAAAATGGAGTAAAATTTAGTAAATATAATTTATATTGACAAAGTTAATCATATTTAACATGCATTAAAACGCATCTTATCCTATTACTAATAAAAATATCATACAAAATCTATGCCCTTTTATAATATTCTAGCGTTTAAAATAAATATACCAATGACTTATTTATAAAATAAATCTAAAAACTTACCTTACAAAAATCATAAATCATTTAATTTGGTAACTTTATAATGATTTTTTTTAAATATTTGTAAAAATTATAAAAGAGTCGAAGATTAGGTATTAAGTAGGTAGGAATCTACTTTTTTTTTAAATATTTGTAAAAATGATTATAAATCGAGGATTATATTACTTTTTCATGCATCATTAAAATGCTTTAAAGTTGTAAAACTTTATGGTTATTACGAGGGTTATTAAAGAAAGTAAAAAAATCCTAAAAACTTTTTTTAGTGGCAGTTTTTTAGGTTAATTTAACAAAATATAGTGAATCAACCAAATCAAAAACTTTCATCAAATTAAGCAGTTAGGCAATTTTTCAAAATCAATGCAGATTTACAACTGTTGGTAGGTATTTATTTATTTATAAATTAAATTTAAAAAAGTACCTACATAAATAAAAACTTCAAAATAGGTACCTATCTCTTTTTATTTATTTTTTATAGTCAAGTTTCTAAAGACAATAGGAGCGGGTCTCACCCACCCCCCATAACGCCCATGGGTCCGGGTAATGTTGTTGCTACCGTATCTCAAGGGTCAACGAACAAACGGTAAGCGTCACGCTTCTGCGTCCCGTATTTCTTCATATTTGCGTAAAAGAGGCGCTCAACTATAAAAAATTATTTATAACGCGAACTCTTGGCCAAACTGGTATGAAATAAAACAATAAAATTAATGTTATTTTTGTTTTATTTGGAGTAAAGTTACTAAATCTATATGGCAGATAAATACTTTTATCTACTCCTACATTGACGAGCTGTAACTTTATGGCGTTTTAGGCACGGGCTGAAGTTAGTAATAGTGGCTTTTGGGCATTTTAGTCACGGGCTGAAGTTAGCTTTATTTTAAATTAAAGAAAAGTGAGGTTAATTCCGTTGACATTTGACAGATGTCAAATGTTTAACAAATAAAATTGGATTTAAATTCTTCCTTGTGGTCGTCGTAGATAAAGTATAGTGTGCAACTCGTTTTATAAACTTATCTAGACACTCGTTTTTATTAAACACTCGCTTGCAAGCTTTGCTCGTGCTTAATAAAACTCGTAACTAAAATGGCGTTTATAAAACTTGTCGTCTTAAGATTATAAATATAAGGAAAAATAGTTTTAAAACAATATTTAACAGTTTTAAATGCTCTATAGGTACTTTTAAACTAACGCATATATGCATATAGACCTACCTGTAGGACCCTTATTGTAGGAAATTGCATTTCCAATAAAAGTCTTCTATACTTTTTTTATCTGTAACTGTAACCGTTTTGCCGTAAAATGTAAAAAATACTGTTTATTATTAAAAATATGACTTCGGTAACGTTTTTTGAAACAAATATTTATTTATTCGTCTACATTATTGTTTCGCCTTCAAAATAGTCCCCATTGGATATTATGCACATGTGCCAGCTCTTCTTCCAATACTCGAAACACTTCTAAAACTCGATCTTTGGGGTAGCCTTTAGTTCTTTCAGCGATGCGCTTTTAATGTCATCTATGCTTGCTTGGGACGGCCCTTTAAGGTTCTTTTTATTTTTGGGAATAGGAAAAAGTCAGACAGAGGCAATGCTGGCGAATATGGAGGCTGGGGCATCATTACAGTATTGTTTTTGGCAAAAAAAAATTATTCAAAATTTAACAATTTTAGAACAAATTTTGCTGCCAAGCGTTTCATACCAAAAACATTTGAAAACATTTCATGGGATGAGCCAATCAATATACCAACATCATCAGCGACTTTTCTGCAGAGATGGTTTATAAATAACCATTTCTTCCACTTTTTCCATGTTTTTATCGGTTGTTAATGTGCTTGTGCGTTCGGGGCGTTCGTCATCTTCAACGTCTTCACGGCCATCTTGGAAACTCTTAAACCATGGTTTGTGCAAGTGCACTTGTAAACTCTTGTTTTATTTCTAGCAGGCCTTTGTTAACATTTCACAGAATTTATTTAATTTTTTAAGCAAAATTGGATACAAATTCTTTGATCCATTTCTTTTAACGAACGAAAAATCGCCGAGCTCATAAAACACGTCTAACCATAGCGGCGAATTTAACAATTCCCGTTATTTTCTGAACACACCTCCTATATGTATCAAGAACATTTTTAATTTAAGATAAATTACCTACAAGGTCAAAATTGCATTTTTTTTTAAATTCAATTGTCTGTTGTATCGAGTATTGTATTCAGCTAACACTTATCATATCCAAAGTATTCGATAAGTATTGCACCAGTACCTAATCAATTTTCTAAATAAATATCGGCAAAATATTAATTAGTAAAAATAAGTAGGTAGGTAATAGGTAACAAATTAATTTTTTTAAATTTCATAATTACATGAAAAATTGCGGGCTCACTTAAGGAATCCTAACTTAAATTTGTC